GTAGTGTGGGATCCAGATTCCGAAAGCAGAAGGGCGGGCGGGTTCGCCCCCCGCCTGGAAGGCTCCGCTGCACGGCGGGCGGGGTGGGCGCGATGCCCGTGCGCGCCGGTCGCAGGCGCGGCTGGACCTCGGCACCCGGCGGGACCGCCGGGCCTGGGGCGCCGGGCCCTTCGGGGCTGCGCGGCGGAGCCGAAAGGTGGGGCCGCGAAGGTGGCCGAACTCCAGGATGGAGAAGGGCGCATCTGTGGTCCGCGCCGGCGAAGTTCTGGCTGTCACTCTGGACCGGCCGGAGCCACAACTGGGGGCAACTTGACAGGACGGGGAACCCACGGTGAGGATGAAAGCATGGCTTTGCTTCCAATCCTCTTGCCCTTTTTGTTCATAATAATAGCTACGACCTGCCCAGCGCTTACTGTGGGCCAGGGCCTTTGCTCTGTGAATTCCGAGTTCGCCCTCAGGACGGCGCGGTGAGGGAGCAGGGAACTAACGGGAGCCGGCGCTGTTGGGTGACTTGCCCCGGTCACTCTTAGTGGGTGATGGAGAGTCTGTCACACACGTCTGCCTGACTCTTCTCCATGGCTCACTCCAATATTCACCTCAACTTCGTTCTGATGGTCTGTATTTTCTCTTTTCTCCTAACGCCATGCATTATGAGGGGCATTGGGCCTAAGAAGCTGGAACCGACTGGCTGGGTCAGAACTTCACCTCCACTGCTTACTAACTGCAGAACCTCTCCGTGCCTCTGTGCAAAATAGGATCTGCAAAATGGCAATACTAATAGCTACCCCTTTCTTTAAGCACTTAGTTGGAGCCTGTCCCCCACCTATCCAATTATGCAAATCATTGCATTTAATAATTCAGACAACTCTAATGATGCAGGACTTCATAGGGTTATTGTAAAGATTTTACATCACAGCCCAGCTCGCTGTAAGTGCTCCATTAGCGTTAGTGGCCATGTAAACCTTTCTGTGTTGCGTGTGAGTCAGAGGATTCCCTCGTGGGTGTTAATGTTAGCTATTCCCCATCATCGGCACAGGACTATGGAAGGGTGGTCAGAGCCTAAACTCTGGAGTTAAATTCTTGGTTCCAACCTTGACTTCGTCATTCAGCAACCTTGGGCAAGTTTCTTGGCTTCTCTGTGCCTCTGTTGTAATGATGTGCTGGAGGTGGCTCAGACTGGCCTGCAAGAGCCAGTTGCTAAATATTCAGGGAACTGGTTGCTAAACCATAGGTAGCTTGAAATTAGCTGTGGTGGGATACTCACATCACGGAAATCAGCAATGCTAAAAATGAAGGATTTTTTTTTTTTACCCCTAGGAGAACTGGTACACACCTCTGCATCCATTCTTTGTCTGTAAAGTAGGCGTCATGGACTTGTGGGATTAAATATACTACAACATATGAAGCCCCTAGTACAATGCCTGGTACATAATAAAAGTGAAATAATTATTAGCCTTTGTATTTTCTCCTTTTTCCTATTTTATAAATAGAGCTGCTGTGAATGCCCCTGTACAGGTTCCTTATTGCTGTGGATCATTTTTGGGTCCAAGACTCACAAATAGAACCATGGAATCATGGAAGATCCATGGATTTGGGGTGATCTTGCATGTGGCCTAGTTGCACCCCAAAAGACTGACGGCAGGTTTAGGGAACAGATCGTTTCAGGGCAACACATTTTAAACCACATCTAATGAAATATGGCCATGTCCCTGATAGCAGGGTCAGCTGCTGAGCGTCATGGGCCAGTATTGGATGTCGGGTGCTCGCTTCCTTCAGCACATATACTAAAATTGGAATGATACAGAGACGATTAGCATGGCCCCTGAAATAAAAATTTAAAAAAAAGGAAAAAAAAATTGGATGCCTGGACTCTAAGAGGCCAATTTCCTTGGGAATTTTAGGTTTAAAGTCTGCCCCCTGCTGGGAAAGGACGTGAGCCCCTGCCTGCTTGGTCATCACCACCCAGCCTAGGGGGAAGAGGGGCCAGTGAGAAAGAAAAGGGAGAATGTGGCCAGAGGCTGAGACACTGGAGAGCCAGGCGGGGGATCCTTGGGGAGCCTGAACTGACACACACACACACACACACACACACACACATTATTTTTTGTAATTCTGAATTTTTTTAACAAGCTCCCCAAAAGTGTAAGTTTCAGGCCCCGCAGAAGCTGGCCTCCCACCCGCCACCCCCCGCAGGACCCCAGGTTTGGACGTGGCTGCAGTCCTGTCTCTCCAAGCACCTTCCACTTTCGACCCAGCCTACTTTTCAGCAAAGTCTTAATTGCAGGTCTTGAGTTCCTAACCCCTCCTTTCAAGGTTCAAGGTGAGATTCCCTTACTTTCCAAGTGTTCTCAAAGTGTGTCCCACGAATCACATGGGGGTGAAGAGGGGCTTGATAAAATGCGGCTTCCCAGGCCCTGCCCCACACCCACCAGTTCAGTCCTGGGGATCCAGTCCCAGGGTGGGGAGCGCCCTGATGCCTCTAACGCCGCTGAGACGGGGCCCCTCACAACTGACACTGTAGACGCTAACCTGGCTGTGCCCACTTGAAAAGCAAAGAGGAAGCCACCCCCAGCCGCACTGTCGCAGCCAGACCGGGGGTGACCTGTCGGGGGAATTCCCACTGTGCCAGGCGGGCCTCCACTTCCCCCCCGACTGTTGCACATTATCCCATTAAACCCTTGGGGACGGTTTCAGATTTATTGCTGGGCTTAAGTTTTATTTAAAGATGACAGTCTATGTAGCAATTTAATGTCTTTGTTTTATTAATAACAACCTGGCAGCGGGGCAGTCTTGGCAGCTGGGGAAAGTTTCTCTGCAGAACCTCTCTGCAGCTGGGGTTCAGGGAGAGCAAGGCCGGGCCTGGCCTGTGGGGACAGGGGGGCCGGGCCAGGCGAGGGGCGCTGCTTTCTACAGCTGTGGTCAGCCCACCAGCCCCCGAGGCTGCGGGACCCGCTCTGACCTTCACGAGCAGCCAGCGCTGGCGGGTGTGAGGGGCTCCTGGCGCTGCATTTGCCTTCACTGGCTGGTGGTCTCCTTTCCTCCTTGTTAGAACATTTGGAAACCTAGGCAGATGGCTGCTTGGCCTGGCCGTTTCCTAGGGCTTCCTGGGTGAACTGAGTGACTCCCCTCCCTGGGTCCAGTAAGCCCCTTGCCCCCTGACGCTGGGCTCTGGGAACGTGCCTTTTAAATTGTACTAAATTTACTCTCCTGAGCTGCTTCTGCTTCCCCCAGATAGCTCCCTGCCGCAGTAGCCGGGTGGGGGCGGTGGGAGCAGTGGGGCCCGGGCAGGCGACAGCAGCAGCCCCTTGATAAGAGCTGTCAGGAGGCGTCCGCTGGAGTGAAACAGTCCCTTGCAGACTTCTGGGGACAAATTTCCCTTCTAAGCCAGTTCCATCTGTCAAAGGCCCTGCCAAGCGGCCTTGAGTCATGCCCTTCTGCTGCCTGGTGACCAGGGACCCCTGATCTGGGCTGCCATCCCTCCGGGTCCCATTTCCGTGCTCCCCACTCTGTCCCTGGGGGATGCTGGACAACTCGCTTCTGTGCCCCAGGGTGTCCTCCATCCTGGATTAATGCCTGGGTCTCTCTGCTCCAGGAGGCCCGCTCACCCAGGTCCTCCAGGCCTCTGCACCTGACAGCGCAGCCTGTCCCAGCAGGAGGGGACCATTTCATTTCTCCCTGGAGAGCTGCAGAGGCCACTGAGGCGCTGGGATGCTTCCAGAACCACCCATTTCAGAAGGGCCAGACCAGAGAACTCAAGTCTCAGGACCCAAGTCCAGGGCTCCCTGCACGCAGCATTCATTTAGTCACCTTGCTGCGATGTAGTTCCAGAATGGAGATGGAGCTGACAACTGTCCTCTCTCCTTCCCTCCCTCCCTGCCTGCCTGCCTTGATCCAGTTCAGGACATCAGAAACAAAGCCATCGTTCAAGCATCTCTATCATTTCACAGACGAAAGGACATTAACACCCCAAATAGTAGGAAAGATGTCTCAGTTAAAGAACTGTCCTGATACTTAAGAATCTTCTAGAGGTTGTTGCTTCTATGGAGAGGCAGTGAGGGCAGAGGGGGGCACTGTGCTCCTCTCTGTATCTCTGGAATTTTGAACCATGGAAATGAATGCAATTCTATTTCAGAACAAAAACAAAACAAGCAACTGTCCTTACTCTATCAACACAGCTCACTTGGTAAACATTTCCTTATCCTCATTCTCCCTTCCTCCCGGCCCAGTGAAGAAAGCTTCATGCCAGGCTGTGGCACTGTGGGCAGGCAGCCACCTGGCCACGCCTGGTCTCGTCTTCTCAGTTCATTTTAACTTCCGTGAGAAAAAGGGCCCCACCTTTCATTTCTCGCATCTTTCATTTCGCGTTTCCTCTCCAGGCTCCGCAGCCCGACAGGCTGGTGCGTTTCCAGCTCATCCATGCCCTTCCTTGCTGCTTTGTAGCAAGTCCCTTCGCCTCCCTGTGCCTCCGAGTCCTCATCCAGCAAAGGGGCCAATGATGGGACCAACTTCCAAGGATTGTGGTGAAGTTTAGATGGGGTCTAGTAAGTGCTCAGTAGATGTCAGCTATTTGTATTAGCTGTCGTCCCCCTTCTGGTGGCATCTGTCCCTTAGCCTAGTACCTGGCTTTGTTCACTCCTTGGAAAATGTTTGTTACTGTAGGATAATACATGATTGTGAGACACTGTGCCAACCCAGAGGACACAGCCCTTTCTCTGAGGCAATGCACGTTCCGTGTGGCTGATCCTGGAGGGAAAAGTCACTTAATTTTGCCTCGAGGTAGGGGCGCAGGGGGGTGAAGTGGAGAGGCAGAGCGAGGGCACATTTGTGCACAGGTGTCAGGCCCTGGCGGAAGCACAGGCGTCTGGGAAGAGGAGGGAATGGATGACAGGGTCTTCGTTTTCAGGGCCCCTGCCTAGCAAGCCGATTCCGAGGAGGCTACAAATAACAGGTCGGCGTTCTTATTTCCTTCCCTCTGGTGGAAACTGGAAACCAGTGGCCATCTGTTGTTTGGTCCACTCAAAAGAGGATGTTGAGACTTGTTTTTTCTGCGGACCCAAGGGTGCGCGGGAGGCCGGGCAGCCCCTGCCTTTCTCGCACAAAGTGTCTCTGAGAAGGCAGCGGATTTTTGGTCTGCGTGGAGCTTCTCGGGTGGACCCCTGAGCATGGAACGTAAGGAGTGCCCCCCCCCGTTCGGGAGATGTCCTCAGCTTGCCCATGGCCTTGGCCCTGGCCTGGGATGGGGTGGGGCTGAGGGGAGCATGCTGTGCGGGCCAGAGGTGCACAGGTGACCTTGGAAGGACCACCGGGTACACTTGACTTGCTTGGAGGACCGAGCCCTCGGGTGAAAATGCCACGATGCCCTGTCTGAGCCGAGGCAACCCTCCGCAACCTGTTTTCCTGCTCCTGTCTTGGATGCTGGCTGTTAGGATGATTATTTTAAAACTTTTTCACTTTTATTATTATTTTCTGCTAACTGCAGTTCAATCAAATCTCCCCAGCAGGGGAATTGCCTGCCTGCAGGGTAGTAGTTATTCTCAGAAGCCAGATACTGAAGTGATAAACACTTAAGTAATATTTAGATACAATGTTTCCATGACCCGGTTTCTCCGCTGCCTTACCCAGATTACCAGTTGTAACAAACTGACTCTCTGATTCTAGGTTGGGATGACTTTTTTTTTTTTTTTTTTAATGTAATACACTTGATGTGGTCTAGATGATAAGAGGGTTTAAATAAGTTCTGTGGGGTTTCTTTGAAACTTCATTGCAAAGTTGAGTATTTTAGAGGGGTACAGTGTGTGTGTGTGTGTGCATTGTACCAAACCACTCTAGAATTTAGGATTAATGTCTCTGACTTTCCTGGACTTCAGTGTTTACTATGTTTTATTTAATATGCTGTGAGTTTTGAGGTACCTAAGACAAACCCTTTGAGGATACATTGACTCCAATGTTGAGGAAGCTGATGTTGGGATATTACCAACGTGTTATTTGACTTGGGGAAGTCTATACACAGGATCATTACACAGAACTTCCTGAAGATTACAGCAGAAATCCATGCTGTGAGCATTCAGTTCTGAGTGTTACAGATGCCTTTTGAATATGGATTTCCAAGGAATTAATGTCTGGAGAAGGTCTCTGTTAGATATGACATCATAGCCTCTATAAATAATGCATCATAAAATACGCTGCAAGCAACCAGCCCCAGACATCTGCACCGTGGGGCTGCGCCCATCTGTGAAATAATGGCTTTTACTGAAGCCAGGAACCACATGGCACAGTATAAATGTAAGCGGAAGATGTACGTACACTGTGTTTGTGTGCTAGAGGATCCCACCCCAATCTTACATGACTTTTTTTTTCTGCATGGAATTGGACTGTTACCCACTTTTCTCAGTCTTTTCCCTGTAGTGTGGTTGTTATCAGTCTCTTTAAGGCTGTTGCCTTCTGGCCTCTGTGAGTCTAAGGTTCAGCAGAGCCTTGTGGTGTGGTGTGGTGTGGAGCCAGGCTGCCCATTCCTGGTGACCCCTGCACGATACTGTGTCTCAGTTTCTTCATCTGTAAACTGGGACTAATACCAACTACATCAGAGGGTTATTGTGAGAATTGCATGATTTAACTCATGTAAAAAGCTGGCAATAGTACCCAGCACACATTGTAAACAATTTGCAAGTTTTGCTGTTATTATTAGTTAATGAGAGATTAATCTGAAGATAAATGTCCTGAAAAATAAGTATTTTTCATGCAGAAAAAAATTGAAGATCTAAAATGCTTTAGAGAGCCCAAGAGCTAAAACAGACCAAAACCCCCAAAAAACTTTTGATTCATTGGAAAAATGTTTTACAGTTAAACTAAACAAGAACAAAAAATAAGCCAAGCATGACAAAATTGAAACAAACAAATGTTATCACAGACAGCTCCTTACTAACTTGGGAGATCATAAAGTTACTAGAAAACATGGTTAACACTCTTATTTCACCTATGCATTCCAAGCCTACTTTCTTGTATAATTCATCTAAAATGGAAACTTTTATTAATATCAATGAAAAAGGGTAAAAGAGTATTAGAACTTTGTGAATCCAAGTGCCAGAAGTTGGGCAGCTGGAAAAATCTTGGTTTTGCTTTAGTCTTAAATTCAGAAGTAAACCTGCTTGCTATTGAGAAAGGTTATTTATTTCTCCTATACATTATTAGGACGACTATAACATTTGAAGTGAACTTAGATGGTTTAGGAATCCCTTACTCAGTGGGTCTCCTGGCCCACTAAGTAGCAGAAATGCCTGAGTGCAAGGGCGATCCACTAGGGCAGTGCCAAGTGGAGTGGACTTCTGCATAGTCTCGTTGGAGCTCGGGGATAATGACTTGGAAAAGAGAGAGACGCCATTGAGTGAATGCAGTTTGCAAGTGTTGCTCCATCAAGATCTGCCTATACTGATACTAATCAAGAAGGACTAAAACTTGGAGCGTAGCCAAAAGCCTTAATCAAACTTGAAAGATAATCAGACGTCTTAGAAGAATTCAAGCCAATATTTCTGGGGAGAGTGAGAACACATGACGTAGAGCAGATATCTTAGCTAGAAGGATACTATATACCATATATAGGGGCAGCAGGTAGGCAAAAAGGCAAGAAGGAATTTCTCTTTGTCTAGGGTACCAAAGCTAGGAAACCAGTGACCATGGCTGTTGAGAGTAGCTTCATCTTGATGTACTTTCTGAGCCATCTCTGAAAACTCCGCATTCTTCTGTAATAGCATCCGCCATAAATGTATTTCATTACATTTGGTACAAGGGAGTTGGTAGCCCAGGAGAGAACCAAACAGAATGGCCCATCGGTTTTCCCACTGTGTTCCGAGGAGCCCTGGGATTCTTTAGATGCAGTCCTGGTAGGGACAGTTGCCCTTTCACCGTAGGTCCCCATCCTGGTTCCATCCGATGATTCCTTAGCTGTGTCACCTCGGATAGGTCATTTTCTCTTCTGGCCTTTTGTTTGCCAGGTTACAAAATAAGGGGCGGGAGGCCTGATGTGGTGGCTCATGCCTGTAATCCTAGCACTCTGGGAGGCTGAGGCAGGCGGATTGCTCGAGGTCAGGAGTTCGAAACCAGCCTGAGCAAGAGCGAGACCCCGTCTCTACTATAAATAGAAAGAAATTAATTGGCCAACTAATATATATATAGAAAAAATTAGCCAGGCATGGTGGCGCATGCCTGTAGTCCCAGTTACTCAGGAGGCTGAGGCAGGAGGATTGCTTGAGCCCAGGAGTCTGAGGTTGCTGTGAGCTAGGCTGATGCCATGGCACTCATTCTAGCCTGGGCAACAGAGTGAGGCTCTGTCTCAAAAAAAAAAAAAAAAAAAAAAAAACCACACTTATGTCCAAAGTAGTTGTTCTGCCACGGCAAGAGAAATTTGTGGCTGCCTAAGATTGTTCCTGGAACGGTGAACTTGTGTCTCTGTATTTATTTACTTAAGATCTGCTGGGGAAATGGAGCAAACTGTCAAACTGTGTTCTCTGGGTAAAGAGCAGAAGAGTAAATTAGTGGAATGCTTGGCAGAATGAACCCTGCTGCAGAAATTTCTCGTAATAATGATCTTTTAATTGGATTTATACTTGGTTGGATAGAAACTCAGTGTTCGGGAGCCTGCCATTTCGGCATTTACAAAGAGAGCAGGAAACTAATTTAATATCCATGAACTGAAGAGTCACTTTAGAAAAGCTTCAAGTCCATTTGCTCGAGGAAGTTTGCTTCTTGTTTGGAGGAATGGATTTGTCCCAGATAATTCTCTAACATGCTCGGTCACCAGTGAGGACTGAAGCAAAGTCCCTGCTGAGTTTCTAAGTTCCGCTTTATTTTATTTAGCCCAAGTCATCCAGTGAATGTCTAAAATCCGGGTAATTTCGATTAAGAGATTAACATGTATTTTGACACCCACACTCCATAGAACATCAGAGATCGCAGAAGCTCTTACTATTAAGTAAGTCCAGTGTGTTCTCATATGAATTTTCTCCAAGAACATTTTTAGCTGTGTGGCCCTGTAGGTATTTGTGGCAATTAGTATTTATAAGACTTTTAAAAATGTATGCTTTTAAAGTGATTAGCTTTGCTGATTTCTTAATTAAAACTTTATTTTCCCCTACGTTCAAACTTTTCTTTATAGAAACATGTTTCTAGCCTTGAAAAAAATATTCACAGGGAAAAAAGTATTAGCTATAAAAATAGTTCACTCATAAATTGTCATTTTAGGGAAGGGGAGAAAGGAACTAACATTTGTCCAGAGTGTCTTATGACCCAAGGACACTGCCAGGTGCCTGAGGGGCTTGAGAGATAGGGGATTATCTTCAAATATGCACAAGAATCTTGCCCAAGGTCTTATAGTTTGAATTGGTCAAACTGGGTTTTGAACCTCAGTCCATCTGAAGTGGCATTTCATGGTTTTTCTTGACTTCAGGAAAGGGTCAAATCCTGTAGAAGGAGGCATGTTTGTTTTGTCACTTCCTCCTTCAGGCAGGTGGCCAAAGTGTGTTAGTTGAACATCCCCTGTTGCCTCCGGAGAGCTTTTAAGCGTCTTGAGTCAGAGCTCAGTGGAAGATGTGCAGATACAAAGACTCATTGTCCATTCACTCTACACGCCAAAATGTAAGGGGAGGTGACAAAAAACGCAGGCATCAAGATCAATGATATTTAATGCAATGGTTCAAAAGATAAAAATGAATGCAAGCACTCTGGGAGGCCGAGGCGGGCGGATTGCTCGAGGTCAGGAGTTCGAAACCAGCCTGAGCAAGAGTGAGACCCCCGTCTCTACTAAAAATAGAAAGAAATTAATTGGCCAACTAATATGTATAGAAAAACTTAGCCGGGCATGGTGGCACATGCCTGTAGTCCCAGCTACTCGGGAGGCTGAGGCAGCAGGATCGCTTGAGCCCAGGAGTTTGAGGTTGCTGTGACCCAGGTTGATGCCATGGCACTCATCCTAGCCCGGGCAACAAAGCAAAACTCTGTCTCAAAAAAAAAAAAAATTAATGCAAAAACATCCATGATGAACAAAATATCCAAAGTTTAAATAAAATCAGGATAAGTAACAGTGGGGTGCAGAGCCGTGTTGGAGCCTGAGGCAAAAGGGGCAATCAGTGGTACCGATCCTGTCTGTGTTTAGAGTGTTGGTGTGCAAAATAGCTTGATGCCTGTGAGCCTGTGCACAGGTGTGACGGGGAAGCAGGTACTCTTGAGTGAAGGTTCTCTGGGAGGAGGGTTTGAGTGAGACTTGAGGGCTGCCTTCGAATTGGCCAGGGCACACAGGGGCTGGAGAAGGATGTGGCGGGACATGGCAAGTCCCTTCATCATTCTGAGCCTCAGTTTTCCTCATCTGTAAAATGGAGGAAATTGTAACACCTGCATTACAGGGTTGCTGTGAGTAGAATGAGTCCATTGTGTGCAGCACTTAGAGTAGGGCCTGGCACATCACTTAACGTAGGTTAGCCCTGGTGGTGGCAGTGATGGTGACCATTGCATGCACGTGCAGATGTTTAAAAACCACAGCATCTTTGGGCCGTGTGTGCAGCCTGGACTTTGTTTTGCAGACACCCATGACAGCGACGGTAGTTCCGGCAGCAGCCGCCAGAGCGTCAAGAACACAGCCAAATGGGCGGCCTCCCTGGAGAATCTGCTGGAAGACCCAGAAGGCGTGAAGAGATTTAGGGTTTGCCTTTTTAATTGTTCATCGTGATTGATGCTCTACGTAGAGGTTTAGATGCATGCGGGTGTGGGGGGGGGAAATAGGCCAGTCGTTAGCACTGTCTCTCCCAACCTGAGTAAGGACTTCTCACCCGTCACGACCGCGCTGGCAACGGTCTCGCAGACAGCCCTGGACAGGCACCGAGGGGCGCGTGCAGTCCTTTCTGGTCTTTGCGTAGTTGGGTGGGAGGTACCAAGAGTTTCCAGCTCTGCATCTCTCTGCTATAGAGGTTTCTTCTCTGGCGCTTGGGGGATTCTCAGGGTGTGTTACTGGCAGGGAGTGAGGCTGGCAATGTGAACGTGGTGGAGCAGCTCCCAGAGAGGGGCTGTTGGGTGGGGCAGTGCAGATGCCACCTGGAAATAACTTTTTCGACCAGCAGAAGCACCAGGTGTCAGTTGGGGACCACCTGTAAATCTCAAGAATGAGTCCCGGCAACTGCCATCGTAAAGCCTTGGGTCAGGCCAGGACGAGCCCTCATGCTGTTGGTCCCTGTTCGGATCCCTGGGGGTGGGCAGTGGCAGGCTGTACCGGGGCTACTGTCTCCTGGACACCGGGCCACCTTGATCAGCGTCCACACCTCAGGGAGGTCTCTGCACAGTGGAACAGTGGCCATGCCACTGACTGCCCAGCGTTCTGCCAAAAGAAAACACACCTCCAACTTAAAATAGTTTCATTATGGCATTTTTAGACAAGCTTAAAATGTGTTCTTTTCTTTTGTTTAAAAAAATAATGGGCCTGATTTTAGAGGAATGTACTTTGTTTAAACACTGCCTACAAGGAACTAATAAATCTTCCACTTGAATTTACTTTTTGGTAATTTATTGTCAGCTTAGAAATATGAGTTGATTCCTGCCTCATTTGTACTCTTCCTTACGATGTCAAAGGCATTAAGGTCAAATGCATATGAAATTCTAGCTTTGACATTGAACATACTCTTTATTTTTCAGGGTGGGGTTTTCAAAGAGTAATTGAACCATGCTCATCTGTTGGATTTTGCCAAGTCAGTTCTTGATGGGAAATACATCATTTCTTTTTAAAGTAGAATAGTATGTGATTTTGTTTTTATTTTTATCCATAGGAATTTTTAAAAAAGGAATTCAGCGAAGAAAATGTTTTGTTTTGGCTAGCATGTGAAGATTTTAAGAAAACGCAAGATAAGAAGCAGGTATTTATTCCACTCTAATCACTTTCTTGATGATTTTTTTTCCCTTTTCTTGTAAAGTCACAACTGTCTTTCTAATAGATTTTGAAATTGACTAAAGAAACCTGATAATATTGTATTTGAGGGAAGATTTAAGCTGGTATCTGGTATTGATCAAATATTAATAATTTTAAAAACAGTTAACCTATTTTTAAATGGAGCTGTTCGAATGGACCAGTATTTAAAATAACAATTTATGTCATTTAGAGTTCATCATCGTGTATGATTTTTTTCATCATGAATAAGTTAAGAGGATGTTTCCCCCGGAATGTGATATGTTAGCATTTTTGGACATTGTAAAGCAATATGCAGATGTGTAATGATAAAAGTACAACATATATCAGATAGAATGTCAATTATTCAATATATCTTTACAAAGCAGTCCACAGGCATTCTACAAAGAAAATTTCTGACTGTTCTCTTTGGTAGATGTGTGCTCTTTGCAGGAGGTAGCTTGTCTTTTCTCTTTCTTTTCTTTTTTTAAATTAATTAATTAACTTATTTTGAAACAGAGTCTTGTTCTGGGTTAGAGTGCAGTGGCATCATCATATCTCACAGCAACCTCAAACTCCTGGGCTCAAACTCCTGAAGCTCCTTCTGCTTCAGCTTCCTAAGTAGCTGGGACTACAGGTGTGCGCCACCATGTCCCGCTAATTTCTCTATTTTTAGTAGAGATGGGGTTTTGTTCTTGCTCAGGCTGGTCTTAAACTCCTAAGCTCAAGCGATCCTCCTACTTCACCTTCCTA